TCCTCCCGGGTACTATTCAAGTTAGTCTGGGATTTCTTGAATAAGACCGGGGGTACTGTAGTAAGCGCTATACGGTATCGTTATTCATGATAACAATAAGCAATGTAGATCAAATATGGCTTTGTCCAAACAAATCCGATCACTTCCGGATTTTATCCTTTCGAAACTAGCGCTAGTGATGTTAAATAATATGTCCAGTCCGGTCCGATCCCAGGACCGAAAGAGACCGTCCTGGACTTAATCCATAACTTATTTTTACAAATTTGAAAGTGCTTTTGTTGTATATATAGTTGATCCGAGATCTCAGCACTCTCATCAGACGAGAAGAAAAATTTTGTGAAGAAATAAACAAATAAACGGATATAACTTTGAAATCCAGAAAACCATGCAAAGGTGAAAGATAATTTTTAAATTTATTATTTTCCCGGTTAAACCACTAATTAAAAGTTTTACCCGAATTTTGAAAGTAGTAAACATTCATTAATTAGATAGATTCTGCATAATTCCCTCATTCTATGAAAAAGTGCTTTGAAATGTTGATGAATTTATTTGTTTTTTTAGGGAATTATTCCAACTGAAACATGAAAGTTCCAAAAAAAATCCGAAATTAATTCCAACAATACTTTAAATATATGGAATTTTATTTGTACCAAGAATTATTTGAATTATTTTGGAATTTTCATGTTCCAAATAAATTTACAACAAAATATTTGGGAATTCACTGCATTTTTCCCAAAAGTTTTTTGGGATAATTCTTAAAAAACAAACATTCCAAAGCACCTAAATATTATAACAACTTGTCATTTGAAATAAATACAATTTATTGTCTAAGTGAACTTCAATGTAACAAAAAAAATAATATACGCGTTAATTTTTAATTTTGGTTATTTCAAATAATCTATAGCATTTTTGTTCGTTCTCTATAATATTGCTTTCTTGCAAAGATTACCTCATATATTTAGTTTATTTCTAAACAAAAGTCCAAAAGGAATATAACAAACGATATTAAATAAACTGAGTATTTCCTAATGAGCAAATGCATTTTTGGTTTTCAATAACATTAAGTTCTTTGTTCGGTCTATTTTATGGTAATGTATACTTCCCTCATTAATATAGCGATAGCCTACAACAATGTAATCCCAGTAACATATTGTTCATGATAAAAGACGACCCTTTATTTTTGACGTAATGCACAATGAGTACGTATTCTGCAAGTCTGTTATCGCGTTCGAAAACATGGTAAAAGAATTTTATTTTTATATACAATATTAAAATTATTGCTTTGGGATTAGGAAAACTTTCATTTCATCACTATAAAATATTGGAATTATGTACTATAAAAAAGATTATTTCGATATAAAGTATAGTGATTTTATCTGAAATGATCGATTTTTGCAACTCTTAAATTTGATCGTAAATTTCCAATTCTTTTCATTAAATACCTCTTTCTTTTTCAAGCCTTTCAACTCGACATTCAAGTCTTTTCTTCTCCTCACACACTTCATCATAATCTCCCCATTCTCTTTCAAGTTTTTCGAGTTTATACTCGAGTCTTTCCTTCTTCTCACACACCTCATCATAATCTCCCCACTCTCTTTCAAGTTTTTCAAGTTTAAATTCTAGTTTTTCCTTCTTCTCACACACCTCATCATAATCTCCCCACTCTCTTTCAAGATTTTCAAGTTTGTAATCGAGTCTTTTATTCTCTTCGCATATTTCGTCATAATCTCCCCATTCGCTTTCAAGTTCTTCAATCTTGGATTCGAGTTTTTCAATTTTGGATTCGAGTCTTTTATTCTCTTCGCATATTTCGTCATAATCTCCCCATTCGCTTTCAAGTTCTTCAATCTTGGATTCGAGTCTTTTATTCCCTTCGCATATTTCGTCATAATCTCCCCATTCGCTTTCAAGTTCTTCAATCTTGGATTCGAGTTTTTCAATTTTCGATTCGAGTCTTTTATTCTCTTCGCATATTTCGTCATAATCTCCCCATTCGCTTTCAAGATCTTCAAGCTTGGATTCGAGTCTTTTATTCTCTTCGCATATTTCGTTATAATCTCCCCATTCGCTTTCAAGATCTTCAAGCTTGGATTCGAGTCTTTTATTCTCTTCGCATATTTCGTCATAATCTCCCCATTCGCTTTCAAGATCTTCAATCTTGGATTCGAGTTTTTCAATTTGATACTCGAGTCTTCCATTCTCTTCGAGTATTTCGTCATAATCTCCCAACTCACTTTCAAGCTTTTCAATTTTGTATTCGAGTCTTTCATTTTCTTCGCGTATTTCGTCATAATCCAAACACTCACTTCTAATTTCCTCAACTTTGCATTCGAGGTTGTAATTATCTTCTTCAAGCTCATGAATTCGTTCCTCATTATCACTGATCGTTCCAGTTAATGCATGAATAGTGCTCGAAAGACGCGAATTTTCAGTTTTTAGATAAATGATATATTGTGCAAAAGTTGTTGGAAGGTTGACAATTGTACGCCATTGACGGCACACGTTTCTGGTTGTGAGAAGAGATTCGATAAGAAGGAAAGAAAATATATGGGATACAAGTTCTGGAGTTGTCAGAACATTTTCAACTGGAGAAATTGTTACTTGTGTATTCTCGTCGTTGTTCTCGTGTTCTGTTGTCGCCATTAGAGAATTTCGTTTGAAATGAAAATATATATATAACGATCAACATAGCTTGATATACATGTATATTCACACAGACGAAAATGATTGGTTAAAAGACATCATTCATTGCATGATAAAAAAACCATGAACATGCATATTTGAAAGCTTCTCACTCGTAAGGATTCTATGTAATTAATTATTACATACATGTAATATTTGATTAGGAACTGATTTTCACAGGATCCTGTTGCATTGTGTTTAATGAAAATATTGAATTATACCAGAGATTTTTGTTATATTAGTGAAAAGAAAAAGAATCTTTTTAAAAAGATGATTTTTAACAGTATTAGTAGTATGCTAAATTGCTTTAAGTTCATATTAATATATTAATAATATATGTAGTTCTACTTAAATATGTGAATTATACAATTATTAAATTAGTTTTAATATATAGTTAAATCTCTTTATAATTATTTATATTATAATCACACACTTTTTTATATTTAACATATAATCATATAGAATTTTATTAATTATATACTAATTTATAATAAAATATCATATATTATTAGCAAAATTTTCTAACTTTAAAAAGTATTTATAATTTTGAATTTTTCAAATTATCTATTAAATATAGTAAATATAATCTATTATTAACAAATATTATTAAGAATAACTTTATTTAGAGTGAAAAAAATCTGAAAATATAACTTAACTTAAAATAGAACTCAAACTAAAATATAATTCAATCTGAAAATAATAATTTAACTTGAAGATATAACTCAATTAATAAAAATCATTATAAAAATTTGTAATATTTTCAAGTAATAAAATAATTTAATAATACTTATTATAAATTTATAAAGATTACTACAAAATTTTAATTATTAAATTTAACTAATAATATCATTAGATAATTCTTTAAACTAAATATTTTATCATTATCTTTATTAACAAAAATTAAAAGAAAATTATTAAATAATATAAATATTTAATATATAATATTCAAAGAAATTTTAATTATTCTATTTCAAAATATTAAATATATTTTTTATTACTAATCAGTAATTTAGATAATTAAATTTCTAAAAAAAATTAAAAATAATATTAAATACTTTTTATTTAAACTAAATTTTATTTAATAATAATATTTAAAAATATATAAATAAAAAAGTTATAAAATAATATAATTCAGTACAAAAATATTAATATATTAATTACTTTAATATTAATAAAAAATTTTTAACTTTTAAAACTTTAATTTTTTTATCAAATATAATATTTAAATTATAATTAATATGTTTATATAATTTTTTATTATATATAAATAAAAATAAAAAATTTTATTAATTAATAACTTTGAATTTAATTATTTTGATTTTTATATAATAATTTATAGTTATTTTTTATAATTTTATATAATAAAAAAAATTAAATGTTTAGACTTTAAAGTCTAATTCTCAATAATTAATAACTTAATTTTGCTAAAATTTAAAATATATATTTATTATATATATATTAATATATTTGCTTAATACAAATTTATAAATTATATATTCATAAAAAATATTAAAAATTTATTTTTTAAAAATTCAAAAATTTTTATCTTTTTTAAAGAATAAAAATAGTACAAACAATTAAATTAAAATATAATTTTAATAATATAAAAAAATTATTAACTTTTAATTAATAAATTTTATAATTATAATTAAAAAAGTTTTACTTTTACTTTTTGATATATTAATCTTTTTGTAATGAACTATACTTATCTAAAAATATTAATAATTTAATAATATATATAATAACAATAAAAAATAATGCTACAGTTACTCTAAATAAAGGGTTTCTTCATTATTAGTAAAAGAGTTATATGAGTTAGAAAAGAGAAATAGACTAATAAAATTGATTTGTGCAAAAATAAGTATCTAAGCCTGTGCCAATTTTGACAGAAATTGTTAAACAATTCTATCAAAGATGAAAAGAGGGATTGGGAGAGTGTGTTCAGAGAGATAATTGATAAAAAGGGATTGCTAACTAAAGAAAAGGGTATTGATATTTCTATACTTGTAGTCATACGTTCTAGTACTTTCAATATCAAAAGAAATGAATAACTAAAAGAATTATCACTTATTTATAGTTGCAGTGTACAAGTATATAAATCAATATCACTTATTTAGAGTTACAATGCACAACTATACCAAAATAATGTTATAGCAAATCAAAATACTTATCCAAAAATACTTAACTGTCTTTTCCAAATTCAAAGACAAAAGTAATTCAATTCTAAACAAATCAATATTCAGTTTCTTGATCTCGCTCAAAATTTATGAAAAGTGACTTGAATTACAAGATTTGAAGTTCAATCAACAAATTATTTTTGACAGATAACTTGTTTCAACGAAAGAAGATACAAGGATAAATATTAATTTTATAACAATAAGACAATTGTTGACTTATTGTAACAAGATTAAAATTTATTAATTTGTTTAAGCATTAAAACATAAGATTGATATATGAGAGAATACTCCTATTTATACAAAATTTGTCAATACATTTTAATTCTATCTACATTATAAAAATATAAAAAGATATATAAAAGATAGAAAAGATAAATAGAAAAGATAGAAAATAAGGATAGTAAAGGTAGAAAAGGTAAATATCGAAGATAGAAAAGATAGAAAAGGTAAATATCGAAGATAGAAAAGGTAAAAAGGATAGATAAATAAGATAAAAAAGATAGAAAAGGTAGATAAATAAGATAGAAGAGGTAGAAAATAAAGGTAGCATAAGTAGAAAAGGTAGAAAATAAAAGTATAAAAGGTAGAAAAAGTAATTAAATAAGGTATAAAAGGTAGAAAAAATAAAAAATAAAGATAAAAAAGTAAATAATAGTTATTATATGATTATTAAATATGTATACTATTTTTATCGATTTGTTGTTTTATTACTATTTTTGAGGATTTTTATATTTTCTACTATTTTTAAAAGATTCATTAATTACAGAATTATTGAAAATAAATGTAATATTCAATCCATCTTCGAAGATTTTGTTCCACAAAATTTTAAAGATTCTTTCAGAATTCTTTAAATTTGCTATTCTTCATTCAGCGAATTTGAGTAATATTTAAAGGATTTTTTTGTTGTTGAATCTGATTTTTATTATCAATTATTTTATAGATATTTCAGATAATTGTGAAAGATTTCTCTCCAATATGTATTCCAAGAGATTCACTAAGTTTATCTTTCAATTTATATTGTTGAAATTTGTATTTTCTTGGAGGTTTGTTGATTAATTTTTCAATTTTATAATAAATAATTGTTCTTTCTATGTTCTCTAATTTTTCAGTATATTGTTACAGTAGTAACATAAAAATTGTTAATTTCAAAAATAATTAAAAAATACAAAATATTCAAAAATATTCATATAATATCAAAATTCTTCTAAACTAATTACTTTTCATTATTTTAATTA